GGTCGACCTGCAGGCGGCCGCGAATTCACTAGTGATTTCGAGCGGCCGCCCGGGCAGGTACTAAATGCTGTCCTCTTAAAAGTGCACAGAAAATGGAATTAAAAGAAAAGTTCATGGAGTAGGCATTGGGCTCGGGGTCAAGACGCCCCTTCGAATATCTGCATCGTGTACTGGAGTGCCTGTGGCCAAGTCCTGGCTGCACTGCTGACTCCGGCTCCCGGCTAATGCAGGCCCTGGGAGGCAGCAGGGATGGCTCGAGTGCTTGGGTCCCTCCACCCATGTGGGAGACCCGGGGGAAGCTTGTGGCTCCTGGCGTTGGGGGGGGGGGGGGGGGGGGGTTACTCATGCTCGTCCATGCTGTAGTCGTTAGACCATTGGCCCCGCATCACTACAAGCCGGGGCGGAGCACGCCGGGTTCTCACCGGACCAGGCTCTCACATCACCAAGCGCGAAGCCCGGGGTGTGAGGTATTCGGCGAGTCACATGGAGGGTGCGCTGCATCCTGCCAAGGGTGTTCGGCATCTCGTGCTGAGGGAGGGGGGCGCGGGTCCGTTGTTGATTGCATGGCGGCAATGCGCCCGCACCACAAGGTTCGCCGTCGGTCCGATCATGACTCCTCCGTAGACGACCCAACGGCTCTCGACGTACGTCTGGCGGCATACCCGTAAGGTTGCGAGTCAGCGCACACGGGTGCGAACGATTTTCAAAGCGTAATTTCTCCACAACCAGGAGGTTAGAATACCACTGCTGTCGAAAAGGGCGGTCATGGAAATATGTCATCGAGAGCTTTCCTGAGAAGTATTGGTTGGCGCTCGTACCCTCTTGGTTGTGGAGAAATCACGCTTCGGAAATCGATCGCACCCCTGTACGCTGGCTCGCAACCTTACGGTAGTCTCGTCCACCGACAGTCCTGGCGTTGCAAGCGATGGCATTTCCTCCTTGTCTTATTGGTAGGCTTCCGTGGACCGGACCAGGTTTCTATGTCCTGACGTTTCCGTCGACCTAAGGTCTAGTGCGTGTCCATCTCTGCCATACGACGTACTGCCGCATGATTTGTCTTGGGCAAGACGGCCTGTTCTCCGAAGACGTGTAGTTTTTTTGGCGACAAGGTTGTGACAGATTGTGGACGATGGTCGATATCCATGGTCGATATTGTTGCCTTGACCTGCACGTGCTTCTTTTCCCGCTTCCATGAGGTATTCGCCCTGTAGCCTGGCTATTTCATTCTGACGATCTGACTCCGAGGCTAACAGGGCAAATACCTCATGGAAGCGGGAAAAGAAACACGTGGCAGGTCAAGGCAACAATATCGACCATGGATATCGACCATCGTCCACAATCGGTTACAACCATTTCGCCAAAGACACGAAGTCTTCGGGCACGGTCATCCTGTCCAAGCGATATCATGCAGCAATACGTCGTATGGTGGATGCAGGATTATATGCCAGAATCCATCGACCGAAACGTCAGGGAAGAGAGCACTGATTCTGTCTCATGGGCGCCAAGACAGCGGGAAGGGGTGTTGCCATGGCTGACGAAAGGACGTCCGGGAGGCGAGACAATGCCACCAGATGTGTGTCGAGAGTTTGAACGTGCGTGCTTCATTAGTTAGCATCAACGGCGCTAGCCTACCGACAAATGGAACGACGCCAGTGCCAGCAACTCAAAACCAAGGTCCTAGGATGGGGGACAAAATCCTAAGATGGTCTTGTCGCCCAGAATGCCGTACTATTTCTCTACAAACCCTTGGCGAGAAGGGCACGCCATCGCCTCACGCACTCCCTCGCCGGCACAAGTGTGACTGTTCGTTAGCATCTTCACCGCACCTAGCCGGCTGCCCGATGGATACCCGGGAGCTGCCGTTGGACAGATCCACTACTGACTGCTGTACTGTTTTGATCTTGTCCTGTGAAAAAGCAAAAAATAAGTAATTTCATTTGAAAGCACACCCAAAAACAATTATTTAATTCAAAAACACACTATATCCTCTGAAAAACCAACAAAAAATTAATTTAATTAAGAAACACACCCAAAATAATTTTAGTTTCACGTTCTTGTTGTTGACGTGCGTTTTACCGCACCGTCTAAAGTTTTTCACCAAATGGGTTCCTCGGCCGGCTCGAATGGACCGGTCTACCGGGGAAGCTGGCGTGGGGCAGATCCACTACTGACTGCTGTACTGTTTTGGTTTCCACGTTCTTGTTGTTGACGTACGTTTTGCTGCACCATCTACTGACTGCTGTACTGTTTTGATTTTCACGTTCTTGTTGTTGACGTGCGTTTTACCGGACCATCTAAAGTTTTTCACCAAGTGGGTCCCTCGGCCGACTCGAATGGACCGGTCTACCGTGGAAGCTGGCGTGGGGCAGTCGCTCGCGAGGATGAAGACCGAGCCGATCGACCTCATGCAGGTATTGAGGCGTGCGGTGTGCTATGTGGAGAACTCCGGAGATGTGTGGTTTGCGCGTTGGGGGGGGGGCGCAAGCTCCGATGTTGCT